AAAATTTCAGATTTTTTGATTAATTACTCTTAGCACGAAAAATCGCCAAAGTTGGTGCTTGAAAATTGCAGGACAGGCCCCGCCTGCCACACTGTGCAACGTTAGGGTTCGGACACACAGGCACATCCTGACGTGCCAGCAACCCGACGTCGGATACACTTCAAAAGAAAGCAGTCCCCAAAAGCAAACAAGGACCCAGTCCACCTGAGCCGGTTATCTCATCGGGCAATTGGGTATTTCAAAATCTATGCGCGGGTTCAAACGCCGACCTGACCACAACCACTGTGAGCAAACTTTAAATACTAAAACTAACATATATTAGTGTGTGTATGTGTGTGTGTGCGTGCGTGCGTGCGTGGCCGGGCAGGTAGGTGTGTGCTTGTGGGTGGCTGGGTGGGTGGGTGGGCGGGCGGACCCTCCGACTTTTTGTCCGTTTCCCCGCCCACTCGCCGCCCGCACGAAAACGCCCAAAACGAAAAAGAAGCCGCCGAAAACGCCAAAAAGGAAAAGAGGAGCCCGCCCAAAACAGACACGAAAATGACAACGAAAAGAGGAGCCTGCAAAAAACAGACACGAAAATGACAACGAAAAGAGGAGCCCACCAAAAACAGACACGAAAGAATGAAAAGGGGCGAAAAATAATCAGAGAGACGAAAAAAAGAAAGAAAAGAAGAAAAAAATAAATAAATAATAAATAATAAATAAATAAAAATTAAAAAAAAGGGGGCGGCCCACAAAACTACACTTCCTTGCTATCCGACAACGGGCACTTCCAGATCTTCCCTCGCATCGATGCCCGCCGCCGCTGGGCTCTGTGTGAGCGCTCTCTCGTTTTCTGGCGCGCTGTAAACAATCCGGTACGCGCTCTCTCGTTTTCTGGCATGCTGTGAACAATTCAGTACGCGCGCCGCTCTGCACGCCTCCCCTCCCTCAATCGCCTTCATCCGCCGACCCGCATCAAAATTTCAACCCGATTGCGGAACACCGCCCTCCCCTCGCGGCCAAGGCTGCTTAAACCACCAGTACCTCGCTCAGCTATCAAGTCCGAGCCTCGGCCGACCGGTAGGCCGATCCGTGCCGAGGCTCGGACTACCGGGCACAGGCATCCCGAACGTCCATGTGAGACAGACGAAAAAAACGGAAAGAAAAAAAAAAAAAAAAACAAAGAAATAAGAAAAATAAATGGTTCATTCCCGCTGCCTGCTGTA